ACGATCAAGCTCCTAGGGCCGGCTGGGGTCACATGCCTGCCCTGCAGAGAGGCAACTTTATTTGTAGTTCCTATAGGTGCCAGACAGGACTGGGAGAGGGGAACACGGTGCTGTGCATGCTGGGTGGGCCAAGCACTGGCTGTCCATTGCAGGCTGACTTCCCCAGTGGCCTGCTCAGAGCTGAAGACCGCCTAGGTTCTGGGACCAGAGATGGCTTCTGGGATTCAGTGCAAAGCGGACAGTGTGATGGACAGAACAGTATTGGAAAGTGTCTCCTTACAAAACTAGCAACACCGTCATTGAAAGACCTTATCCAAAATTGTGAGTCTACAGGCCGGTGCCGTGGCTCACTAGGCTAATCCTCCGCCTAGCGGCGCTGGCACACCGTGTTCTAGTCCCGGTCGGGGCGCTGGATTCTGTCCGGTTGCCCCTCTTCCAGGCCAGCTCTCTGCTGTGGCCAGGGAGTGCAGTGGAGGATGGCCCAAGTACTTGGGCCCTGCACCCCATGGGAGACCAGGAGAAGTACCTGGCTCCTGCCATCGGATCAGCGTGGAGACCAGGATAAGTACCTGGCTCCTGCCATCGGATCAGCGTGGTGCACTGGACGCAGTGTGCCGGCCGCGGCAGCCATTGGAGGGTGAACCAACGGCAAAAGGAAGACCTTTCTCTCTGTCTCTCTCTCTCACTGTCCACGCTGCCTGTCAAAAAAAAAAAAAAAAGAAAAAAAGAAAAAGAAAAAGAAAAAATTGTGAGTCTACAAAGTCATCTATAGTTCTACTGCTTGGGTAACTACAGGTAATTTTTTAGGGTATTTCTCTTGTAGATTCTTTGTAACAGAGTTGAGGACACACTGTGTGTATAATTTTAATATTTGAGCACTTGCTTTGATCCAGCAGCTGCTAGAGCAGTATCAGAGGAAGAGACAAAGGGAAAGATCTTCCATCCTCTGACACACTCCCCAAATAGCCACAATGGCTGGGGCTGGGCCAGGCTGAAGTCAGGAGCCAGAAGCGCCATCTGGGTCTCCCATGTGGGTGGCAGAGGCCCAAGTTCATGGGCCATCTTCTGCTGCTTTCCCTGGCACATTAGCAGGGAGCTGGACGGGAAGCAGAAGAGACGAGACTCAAACTGGCGCTGCGATACGGGCTCTGGTGCTGAAGGTGGAAGCTGGACCCCTCGCCCGTCAGTGGCAGCCCTGGAGGGTATATCTGTGATGCTGGCCTCCTGAGTCACCTTACCTGCAGCTGTCCCATCTGATGCAAGAGGCACGGGGACCATCGTTGGCCCTTAGCTCTGCCAGTGCCGGGGACCCAGCACAAAAACAAATGAAAGTTAAAGCAGAACAAAACAAAGGCCCTGACAGCTTGCTGCAAGGTGAAGTGACCCTGGAGGACCACTCGGTTCCATCTCCCCGAGGACTGCTTGAGCGCAGTGTGGGATCTGCCTGTGGTTCCCATTCGTCCCACTGCTTCCCTTCACTGCCCCTCGGATGGTGCTCCCAGCAAAGTTTCTTTCTTACTTTTTTATTTTTCAAAATTTTTTTTAAAATTTTATTTAAGCTATACAAACTTCATGCCTTTCATATATACAAATGTAGGAACACAGTGATACTTCCCACCTAACCCTCCCGTCCGCCCTCACTCCGCCCTTCTTCCACCCCATCTCCTATTCTCACTCTTCACTTTTACAAAGATCTAATTTCAGTTTCCTTTATACTCATAAGAGTAACACTACAGTAAGTAAAGAGTTCATCAAATAGGATTCAGAAAAAATCACTATTCCTCAAAGTAGAGACAAGCGCTGTAAACAATCATTGAATCTCAAAATATCCATTTCACTCCTCTACATTACCTTTTAAATACTCCATTAGTTACCACGTATGACATTTTTTTTTTTTTGGTACTGGCTAATTTCACTATGTTTAATGGTTTTCAGTTGCATAGATCACTCTTTGAAAAAATAGACTTATTTATTTGAAAGATAAAACTACAAAGACCATGAGAATGAGAGCAATCTTCCATCTACTGCTTCACTCTTCAAATGGCCGTAAAGGGCAGGGCTGGGCCAAGCCAAAGCCAGGAACCTGGAGTTCCATCCGGGTCTCCCACATGGGTGCAGGGGCCCAAGGACTTGGGCCATCTTCTACTGCTTTCCCAGGTGTGTTAGCAGGGAGCCGGATTGGAAGTGGAGAGGAGCAGCTTGGACTGGAACTGGTGCTCATATGGTATACTGGTGTCACAGGGGGTAGCTTAACCTGCTGTGCCACAACACCAGCCCCTATAGATCATTCTTATGGGTTAGCAGGTTCTGATGAATTTCAACACTGTCTGACACGAATAGATCACGTTTCCATCTGGTCTTTCACGGAGATACTACTGGATTCTGTCACTTGAAATGATGAGAATGTGCTTGGTAATGAAGAGGGAACTCACTGGGAAGATGGGATAAAGGAAGAGCCCTAGTTGAAATACAGCTATCACCATCTTAATAATGTGCCACACAAATACAGATGTGTGTATTGAAGCTCCTGGACCTGTGTATTTAGCAGTTGAAAACGGAGAGCTTGCCCGTCTCAACCTTTGCTGACATTTGCACAGGGATGGAATTGGAGTGGAAATAAGTGTTCAGAAGTTGATCCCTGGGAGCTGGATAACTGCACCACACCTGCGATTATCTCTCTGGGGAGGGTAGGCACACCACCATTAGCGGAGCCCACCCCCACTAGCGGAGCCCACCGCTCAGAGCTGGGTGGAATCGATCTGGAAAGACATCAGCGTTTGTCTGTAGCAGGGTGATATTCAAGTCTGAGTCCTCCCAATAAGTCAAGGGGCCCAGGGACTCTGCTTTTCTTCCCTAAGACACGTCACCTGCACAGAAGGGGCTTCCTGCGCCACGCCTGGGGCAGGTGGAGCCGCTGGGAACGGCGCTGTGGTCTCCCGGTGGACAGGGATCTTGCCTCTGTGATCACGCCTCCTGCAAGCCTGTCTCTACTGCTTCCCCATTCCCACTTGTTTTTCCTCAAAGTTGGCCTCCTCTTTCATCCTGGGTGAGCTTGCCCACTCCCAGGGTTCCCACCACCCATGGCTCCCTAATTTATCTCTGTGACCCTGTACTCCCTCGAGTTCCAGACCCAATCTGTTGACAGGCTTCTCCACATGCGTCCCTTTCAAGGTGTCATCTCCTATCCACCAGGTCCCTCACACCGACTCTTCTTCCAGAGTTCCTTGTCCCAGTGCACCTGGAGTCTGCCACCCTACAAGCCTGGAAGGCATTTCTGACGCCTCCGCCCTCATTCTGTTCATTTTTTTTTTTTAATGTACTCATTTGATAGTTCAGCAAATAAACATAAGCCACCTGCTGTGTGCCAGGCCTTGTGTTAGCTATCTAAAAGTGAGCAGAAGTTGACACGGTCCCTCCCCTCCCGGCCCGTAGTCCAGTTGGAGAAACAAATTGTGCCTGAGGAAGGGTGTGTAGAGCCCTGGGAATGTCTGGGGGCCAGCGGGGGCTCCCTCAGCATCATACAAGAGGAGAGTTTGAAGAGTGCCTGAGGGACTAAGCCAGTCAGACAGATGGACAGTGGGAAGTTCCAGTTCGAGCGGACAGGACAGTAGGTGTATACGCCACGAGAGAGGGATGACCTTCAAGAAAGGTCACCATGGCGGAGGTGGACCAAGTTACTGTAATGACGATGGGAGGGGCTGCAGGGACGGGCAGGGGCTCTATTGCAGCAGCTACCCTGAGGATTTTGGTGCTTCCAAGAGGACAGGGAAGACTTTGAAGGGTTTTAAGGTGGGCAGGGTGGGGAGAACTTGAGAGAGGACAGCTTTACCCATGAAAACCACTCTGGTTGCGACGCGGATGGGCCCTGAATGGACGTGCATGGCGGCCGTCCCCCTGGCTTTCTCCTGGCCATCCCCACGCCCTGATCCCCAGCCTGGAGTTCTATCATCTCTTGTCTTCCAGCGGAAGACCCCCCTCCAGATGCCCCCTTGCAATTCACCTTCAGGGTGGCTATCTGACTACCTTTCCACTTCTCAATAGCAAAGAAAACCAACGATTCTCCACCGGGCTCAGAATAAAGTGCAAACTCAGTCTGGCCGGCAGATTCCTTCACTCCTGGCCCCTGTCTCCCTCTCCTGCGCCACATCCAACCACTTGTCCTCAAGTACCAAATGCCCTAACCCATGAAAAGGAGGGTTGAGAGCTGGACAGCGGTTTGAGGGAAAGGACTAGCTGGGTAGAAGGAGCGCAAGCCAGGAGGCTGTGCCTAAGGCCCGCAATGTTGATCCAATGGAGCGTGCAGGGAACTGGCTGAAGTAGGGGTGTCGGGCATTGGCGTTGAGAAGCTTTAGGCAGTACCACAGGAGTATCAGGATCACCACTGGGGTCACCGAGGGACAAGGCCTCTGGGGGCTCAGAGGTGTGATCAGGGTGCAGGTGCTGGGAGGTGATCCCTAAAGACAAGGCTCTGAGCACTGAGTGGTGGAAGATGAGGGCAGGAACCCCCCTCCGCTGCACAACTCATGGCCTGGGATAGCCAGGACCCTCATGAGCAAAGAACGGGCAGGACTGAGAGACTTCGCACTCAGAAGGTCGAGATCAAGGGCTGCCTTGGTTAGGATAACTCTAAGAAAAATTTGTAATAGTCTGTCTGCCTGGAGCCTGAATAAGTTGTAGAGTCCAAGGGGCTAGAGCTAAAGGACACAGAGAAAAGAGCCGGGCAGCTCCTGCCATGGCCCCCCACCTCGAGATCAACCAACACAGAGACACAGCTAGGGCTCATTCCCAGCGCTTACACAGTCAGGGACATGAACCATCAACCCCGTGAACCCAAAGAGCAGTGACCCCTCCCACCCACGGTGAATAAACCCTCAATGTTCGTGTGGTTCTGGGGCAGCTCTGCAGCTCAGGAGGGGCTCAGCAGGCCATGACTGAGTGCGGTTCACATGGCAACCAGAAGACTATGACATCCTCAGAGGGCGGTGAGGTCACAGAGCAGAAGCCTTCAAGTAAGTGAACCATGTGGGCCTCATGTATTTTTAAAAGAAACTTCTGAGAAGAGCTTAGAACAATTTTTTTCCCCTGAGTGCCATTCCCCAAAGGTACTCACAGAACAATAAGGTGTGACTGTAATGGCTGCACTGAGTTGTCTTTTGGACAGCGTTAGAAGGGACATAAAGAAGGTGGACAGAGAACTCAGGCAACTGAGATGCATCGACGAACTTAGCACGCGTTGCCTGTGCGACCTGTACATGCATCCGTACTGCTGTTGTGACTTGCACCCGTACCCCTACTGCCTATGCTATTCCAAGAGGTCCCGTTCCTGTGGCCTGTGTGACATCTACCCTTGCTGCCTGTGTGACTACAAGCTTTACTGTCTTCGACCATCTCTCAGAAGTTTGGAGAGGAAAGCCATTAGAGCCATAGAGGATGAAAAGAGAGAGCTTGCCAAGTAAGGGAACTTGTTCTCTAGTTGGTATATTAGCCTTATAAGTTGAAATACGGTAGGGCGGGGGTGGGGAACGTGGCAGTCTATACTTGAACAAAGATCAAAAGGGTTCAACACAAGGACCCTGGTGACTTAGGGAAGATTTAAGGAGAACAAGTGGGAGCATGACGGGAATGGTAAGATTCTCAAAAGACAATGTAATGACGTCAGTTGGCAAGGTTGGTGGTGGTTTAATGGTAGGTGTGCCAACATGATAAATAAGGTGGCTTTAATGACAGATAGAAACGGGGGTGTCATTAAAAAGCCATTGGCAATGACAAACTAAACATTTTTTTCTGGTTATGAATGAAGTGATTGGAGTATATTTGGACTTACAGAAATGACTACAGAAGTAATCATAATTGATCAAATCCTTAATATTTGCCAGAGGCTTTGAGAGTAGGGGAGCAAACTGAACAATAGAAGCATTTCCTGGGTTTTGGAGGGAAGCCTTTCTCCCAGCCCCCAACTCCAGACATCCATAATCTGTTGCCCACCTTCTCCAGCCCGACTAAAGGCTGTATGAATAAATTACAGAAGTTGCAGCTTTCATAACAGACTTTTAAAGAGCTTTGATAGAACTGGATACTTTTAAAAATCACTCTACAAATTTTGGGGTTTGATGACATTTTCTTTGTGTCCAGGAGAAAGCTTTCCTTTTCAAACTTTCTACCTATGCCATTTAATCTGTTACTGTTGGTGGAAAGGCAGTTGAAAGCACTGTCCCTGGTTAAATAAATTACAGACCATTCATATGCTGGGATAATATGGAAAAAGGATTGAGAAAGCATTTTACATATTGGTGAAAAAAGCAAGGCGCAGAAAAATTGTGTTTAGTATGCTAATTATTTTAGAAAACATATGCATAGGAAAATGGATGATGGATGAATGGATATTATAAATGATAGATGATAGATAACAAATGATAAATATAGACGATAGATTAGACAGGTAGGGATGATGGATGGATGAATAGAGTCCCTTGACAACAGTGACTGTGATGTGTCATTGGAAAGGACAATGACAATTACTGTCTAGGTCACCAGTCACAAAGATCAGGAATGGACCTGTGACAAAGTTATAAATTCAGCTATACTCTCATTGTTTATTTTTACTACTTAGGATATCAAATTAAAATAAATTGTTCACACCATGAGTCTGGAACTCTTTTTTTTTTTTTTTTAGACTTATTTATTTTACTTGAAAGGTGGAGTTACTGAGAGGGAGAGGCAGAGAAAGAGAGAGAGATCTTCCATTAGCTGTTTCACTTCCCAAATGGCTGTGACAGCTGGAGCTGGGCCAGTCTGAAGCCAGAAGCCAGCAGCCAGGAGCTTCCTCCGGGTCTCCCATGTGGGTGCAGGGGCCCAAGGACTTGGGCCATCTTCCCCTGCCTTCCCAGGCACACCAGCAGGGAGCTGGATCAGAAGCAGAGCAGCTGCGACTCAAACCAGCACCCATATGGGATGCCAGCGCTGCAGGCAGTGGCCCAACCTGCTATGCCACAGTGCCAGCTCCGCAAACTCTTTTTAATGTTTGATGCTGGGACTGGCATTGTGGCACATCAGGTTAACTTGCCACCTGCAATGCTGGCAGCTCATATGAGGACCACGTCGAGTTCCAGCTGCTCTGCTGCCTATCCATATCCTTGCTAATGAGCCTGGGAAAGCAGTGGAAGATGGCCCAAGTGCTTGGGATCCTACTACCCACATGGGAGACCTGGATGGAATTCCAGGCTCCCAGCTTTGCGTTGGCCCAGCCCTAGCCGTTATGGCTACATAGGGAGCCACACATCTCGTACATCATACAAGATATGAGAACTTCTCTGGTTTGTGCCGCTTTTCCTGACAGTATATGGGTCTTAGATTTTCCCCTGTGCCTGCGGCAGTATGTGAAGCTGGTGATGCCTTCACATTAATTCCTACATCTCTGAACTGACAACTCCATGTCCACTTAGAAACGACCTACGGCTCGCCCTCTTTTCTCCCCAGCCACTTTCCTTCCCATTCATAACACCTTGTGAAATTTCTACGCTCTATTTCTGACAGCTTGAGATTTCACTCCCCAGTAGGGATTAGTGCCTCCGACAAAGCTAAATATTCAGTTTTCCTGAATATGGGGAGAAATAAGCCCTAACCCCAACCCCTCACCCAGAGGACTCCCACAGTGACTATTTTTTTCTTCCAGTGAAATAGCTCTTTTTGTCTGGTCTCTCAGCCAGCTCCTGATCCATGACTGAACAGGTCCAGAAATACCATGGAGATTCAATGCTTACAGCCAGTCCTTGGTGTGAAACTCGCTGCAGGCCTTCTGAGTCTGGGATCCATAGTCACATGAGCTTCCATCCATGCAGGGATACCAGATCTGTTAGTCACCTCACCCTTTCAGCTGTCAGGCTGTGTCGTCCAGAGGTCCGCTGCCCAACGAGAAAGACTCCCTGCTTCACAGTTGCCTTGTCCCCACTGAAATCAGTGTTCTACGTGAACGTGGACCTGCTGTCTCTGGGGCTCATTGAGCCTTGGCTCACACTTTCTTACGAGCACCCTTAAGTTTCTTTTTTCTTTTTTAAATTATGCTTTAATTCCAATTTCCATGAACTTTTTTTTTTTATTCGACAGATAGAGTTAGACATTGAGAGAGAGACAGAAAGATCTTCCTTCCATTGGTTCACCCCCGAAATGGCCACTTCAGCCGGAACTACACAGATCCGAAGCCAGGAGCCAGGTGCTTCTTCCTGGTCTCCTACACAGGTGCAGGGCCCAAGCACTTGGGCTCTCCTCCACTGCCTTCCCGGGCCACAGCAGAGAGCTGGACTGGAAGAGGAGCAACCGGGACTAGAACCCAGCACCCATATGGGATGCTGGTGCCGCAGGTGGAGGATTAACCAAGTGAGCCACGGCGCTGGCCCCATCAGCACCCTTAAGTTTCTTGAGCACTCCTGAGCCAGCCGACTCATGTGTGTCTTGTCAGACTGGGCATGGAGGTTCTGGCCCATCTCCACTGTTTCTTGAGCGGCTGCTTCCAGAAATACCTTGGCAGTGTCTTCCTTAGCGAGCACTTGGGTTTGTTTCACTTCCCTGAGATCTCCTTTTCCTCCCTAAGTCATATTTGCGCCCAAAGCACTGGCAGTGCCCTTGACCCTTCCTCCTCGGAAACGAGAGGTGACTGAATTTGGTGCCACAAGCCGCACGGGAGTTCGCACCTGACTTGCCATCACACTTCGCAGTCTTTCTTGTCCTACAGCTGGAGACACAAACCCCAGCCCCTCCTCAGTGCTGCCTCTGGGAGCTTATCTAATTAGTGGGTGTCTCACTGTGGCTCTGACACCTGGCACCAGGCCTGTGGGCATCCCAGCTGTACCCAGGAGCTGCACTGGGCTCAACCTCTGCACCTGTTACTGGCTCTGGAAATTAATCCTGAGACTGCCCCTCCATCCATGCACCCAACTACCTGTGGCCTGAACCTCTCTAAGAAATTCCCTTGAGGGGGCTGGTGCTGTGGCACAGCAGATTAACGCCCTGGCCTGAAGCGCTGGCATCCCATATGGGCACCAGTTCAAGACCCGGCTCCTCCTCTTCCAATCCAGCTCTCTGCTTTGGCCTGGGAAAGCAGTGGAAGATGGCCCAAGTCCTTGGGCCCCTACAGCCACATGAGAACCTGGAAGAAGCTCCTGGCTTCAGATGGGCGCAGCTTCAGCCGTTGTGTCCAACTGGACAGTGAACAATCGGATGGAAGACCTCTCTCTCTCCCTCTCTCTGTCTCTCCTCTCTCTGTGTATCTCTGACTTTCAAATAAATAAACAAATCTTTAAAAAAAGAAATTCCCTTGAGAACCCCGACATGAAGGGCACCACGTTAAAACATCAAAATTGGACTTCTCATTTCTTCTCCTGATACCCCCTTCATGCCCTGAGCACGAGGTTTTTGGCAAATCCACTCTTCCTCGGTGAGGCTGGTGACAGTCCCTTTGTGGGGTTCAGCTCTTTGTGGGTTTGCTGGTGCCTTGTCCAGGTCTATTCCCAGAGGCCAGAGCATGATTGAGCCATGGGAAGCCAGCAGAGAGCCACTCCAGGGATCTCTGGCTGGTGAAAACCTGGCTCACCCACCGAGAAGACTCCTTCCTTTTCCTCTGTGTCCTCTGCAGAGGTCAGAGAGAGCTGGGCCCTTCAGTCCCCTCTTAGGCTAATCTCTTCATATGCGTAGGCCTTGCGGCCCTGTCACCCCTTGGCTGCAGAGGTAGGCACAGGTGCCCACTGAGGTCAAACGCTCTCTGGTTTGACTGTACTGTTTAATGATGAAGACTTGGGGTTTGATCACATTAAGCCTCAGATAGGTGGGGCCTGGTACAGCCTGGTAAGGGAGCCTCAGAGTTTGCTGAGTGAAAACCATGCCTGGTGCTTTGTGGCTGTCTGACCTTCTCCCACCCTGGTGGGCCAACATCATCTCAGTCATCTTGCAAATGCTGAAACAGATGCAGGAACACTGTTCTTGTCTGCTGGATGTGGCAGAGCCAAGACTTGAAGCCATGTTTGCCTGAGTCTGGACTCCACACGTTTAATCACTAGGTTAGTGGTTCTCAAAGTGTGTTCCCTGGACCAGCCTAAGCGGCATCACCCAGCACTTCTTCAAAATGCAAATCCTCGGCCCCACCCCAGATCCACTGAATCTGAAACCCTGGGTGTGGGTCCTCGCCACCTGCAACTTGCAGAGCTCAGCCGTGGAGTCAGGTGCACCTGTCTGCTGAGTGACGCTGTCTTCACCCAACGTCTGGAGAAGAGAGAACAGGCAGGAAAAAAGGCAAAGGGAGAAGAAAAGAAAAAGAAGAAGATGTGTTGGAAGGGAGAGGTCGAGTTTAAACAGGTCTTCGAAGCCAAGCACCCAAAGGAGGCCGGGATGAAGGCTCCCCTCCCTTCGCGCCCAGGCGGAGGTGGGCATTTGTGACATCTCTGCTACCTTGTTCAGTGCGAGGCTGGGTGGGACTGACGCCTTGTGAAGATGGCTGAACAGATGCCCCTGCTGTGGGCAGTGAACTCCAGCTTCACCAGGGAGAAGAGGTGGCAGCACAGGCACCTGCTGTCTGCTTCCATTGCCCTGGCATTTCCAGCAGGCTCCCTGCGGGGCAGGTTTCCCTGTTTCCTGAGGTTTGAACTTCGTCCCTGTTCACAAGGATGGGAGGCAGAACCCCAGAGAGCCATGGAAAATCCCATACAGGGTGCAACTCCAGGCAAGAGTCATGTTGCCAGAAAAATATGGCCCCTCCATTTTCCTGTAAACCCACACTGCCTTGCTGCTAACTACTGCCTAGAAGCAAGAAGAGGAAGAAGTCTGACCTGGCCAAAGGTTTTTAAACAATTTTCTGAAGACTCGATGGATTCAAGACCCCTGTGCAGCTGCTGCGGGGTCGCAGGAGCCAAAGGGAGAGGCACAGAGAAGAGGGAACTCGGCAGTAGTGTGGAGTCGCTCCCTCCCTGGCACACAGGCTGCCAAGGGCATGGATCTGGGGGTGAACTTTGGCTGACTTCTGCAGGCTGCAAGAGAGCTGCGTCTTGCAGAATCACCATAGCAGCGATGGGGGTCCCTGCCCGCCTTGGCTGTGGCTGATCTGGGTTCAACCCTGTGATCCCTCCAGAGGGCACCACGGGCTCCTGGCTGAGTCTGGGCTGGGTCCCTACATCTTTGCAAGCCCACATGGAGGACCTAGTGCTGATTCTCCTGCTGCCCTCCATGGTATGGTACAGGCCACTCTGGAGCACCCTGGGTAAGACAGCCCTGAGGCTGGCGCTGTGGCATAGCAGGTAAAGTCGCCACCTGTGGTGCAGCATCCTATGTTGGTGCTGGTGCAGAGTCCTGGCTCTGCTCCAGCACCAGCTTTTTGCTAATGTGCCTGGGAAAGCAGCAGAAGATGGCCCACGTTCTAGGGCCCCTGCACCCACATGGGAGACCTGGAGGAAGTTCCAGGTTCCTGGCTTCAGTATGGGGAGTAAACCCATGGATAGAAGATAGCCCATCCCAACTTGGCCTTTCAAAATGAATAAGACAAATCTTAAAAAAAGACAGCCCTGTGCCACCCAGGTTGCTTGTGGCCTGGGGGAGGAAGTGGAGCTGACAGTCCGCTGGGGTGTTACACAAGTCGTTTCTGTTTGCCTGTGTCTTGCTGGACTAAGTTCTATTTGATGTTGTGTAATTAGCCACTAAGAGTCTTAGCTTTCAGTACAGGAATAGTGAACCCACACCTTTGTTAACTCAATCATGATTAAGACTTGTGTGAAAAACAGCAGCTAAGTGTACTACATATAGCACGATTTCATAAGAACACACCGAACTATATGAATATAGGAATACACATATGGAAAGTCTAGCACCATAATGTTAAGTGTTACAAGGGATTATGGGTATTTTTAAAATATCCCATCTTGTGCTGATCTGCATTTTCTGAGTCTTCTACAGTTAAGCTGAACAATGTATACAGCAAAAAGGAAGGAAATTTACAAACAAAATTCAGCATGAACGGTGACAATGATAATTACATCTGTATATCACAGTTATTGTGCAGATTAAATGAAATAATGGCTTTAATATACTTAATGCTTTCCATGGAATATTAAAAGAGAGAAACCTAACACCCTAACTATGCACCAAGTGCTACGGTAAATACTTTTCCTGCATTACTAATTTAGACCTCACAAAAACCCAGTGAGGTAGACTACCACTGTGTCTTCCAGAAGTTCAAGGAAAAAGGATTCTTGTGAAAAAACAACGCATGGAAATTCAAGATTTTTGACACCATAATAAAACTTGTAATTCTGCTTTCTATGAACTTTCTGAAGAACACTGGCATTGTCTTAATTTTACAGATAACGAAACTGAGGCGTAGAGAAGTACCTTGTCCACGTGGCACAGACAAGATACATAAACTTAGCTCCTCGGGGTCCAGAAGTCTATGACTTCTCCATGTATCCTAACCGATGGATAGGTGTGAGTCACTCTTGCCATTTTTTTTATTAAGGATTCACACAGTAGGACCACCTAGTCTACAGGGATCACCGCAGTGGTATTTAACAGCTGGCTCCGTGGGGCCCTGATCTGCAGTGTTTAGTTAATTGTTGTGAAGATTCCCACGGTGACTGATTCCAAGCTATCCACAGGAAGGCAGGGAACAAGGAGCTGGGAAGAGGTGTGTGCGATCAGCTCTTGCAAACTGGTGGGCTCCCAACCAGCCCAGTGCCTGAGCTACCCAGCCGCAAGCTGATGGTCTCTGTGGTGCCTGGTGTCCAAGTGTGGGGCAGTTTGGCAGTGGCAGGAGGAGCCAACTCCGAGTAGGCAGGGCCAGGTCCCAAAGGGCAGAGCCAGATCCTAGTGGGCAGGGCCAGGTCCCAGTGGGCAGGGCCAGGCTGTGGCTCTCCTGCCATGTGGCTGTGGATGGAACTTTCCGGCTGAGTCTGTGAGACTGCCCAGTGACACCATCAGGACTTCATATTGCAGGGCAGGCTTCCCAAACTGGCAGCATCTCTAAAATGCTGAGTTAAAATGGTGTCTCCTGGGTGCGTCCCATTGAAGAGAAAAGCTCTGTTGATACTTATGTATCACTACTAATATGTGGCATTACTAATATTAATGGTAATAACTGGCCGGCGCCGTGGCTCAATAGGCTAATCCTCCACCTTGCGGCGCCGGCACACCGGGTTCTAGTCCCGGTCGGGGCGCCGGATTCTGTCCCGGTTGCCCCTCTTCCAGGCCAGCTCTCTGCTATGGCCAGGGAGTGCAGTGGAGGATGGCCCAGGTGCTTGGGCCCTGCACCCCATGGGAGACCAGGAAAAGCACCTGGATCCTGGCTCCTGCCATCGGATCAGCGCGGTGCGCCGGCTGCAGCGGCGGCCATTGGAGGGTGAACCAACGGCAAAGGAAGACCTTTCTCTCTCTGTCTCTCTCTCTCACTGTCCACTCTGCCTATCCAAAAAAAAAAAAAAATATTAATGGTAATAACTAACACATATCTGTAGAGTTCAACCTTTCACACTGACTGCTGTTAACTTATGCTACAAACAATAATATAGATTGAAATGTGGCGTCACAGGCTGTGGCTGAGGTCTAAGCACCTTCTTCCCTTGCCCTCTCTTTTTGCTCAATTCCAGACTGAGAAGAACCACGAATAGAATCCTGGCCTCCTCTTGCTGTAGCAGTAACATTTTAGGATCGGTGAACGTGTGCGGCTTTGAACCTGACCAAGTCAAAGTACGAGTGAAGGACGGAAAGGTGTGTGTGTCAGCCGAGCGGGAGAACAGGTACGACTGCCTTGGGTCGAAAAAGTACAGCTACATGAACATCTGCAAAGAGTTCAGCTTGCCGCCGTGTGTGGACGAGAAGGACGTGACGTACTCGTACGGGCTGGGCAGCTGTGTGAAGATCGAGTCGCCGTGCTACCCATGCACTTCTCCCTGCAACCCCTGCAGCCCCTGTAGCCCTTGCAACCCCTGTAACCCCTGCAGCCCCTGCAGCCCCTGCAGCCCCTGCGACCCCTGCAGCCCCTGCTACCCCTGCGGCAGCCGATTTTCCTGTAGGAAGATGATTTTGTAAGGCATCCGGATGTAGGAACCCATAACTTAGAATTCAGCCCAGCCAGGCAGCTCTTCCAGTGTTTCTCTTCCCCTTCCCATGGCCCATGTAGGTTAGGCACATAGGAGGTTAAATACACAACTGCAATCTGCTGGTGGTGTGTGAAAGTCTTTTGGCCGAACCCCTCACGGGAGCCCTGCAGAGTTGGTGGGTGTTGGAAGAAGCAATGGACGGAAATGGAGGATGAGATGGTGAGCTCTCCTCTCCACCTGGCTACCTCTGAATTCTAGGAGAAGATACTTTCTGGGTGGGCTTCCCCAGACACTGTGTGTCCAAATGAGCCCATGGAATGGCCTCAGCCCAGAAACCAAACTGTGAGAGCAGAACCAGAGTAGTTAGGGCTGAAGAAAACCATTTCTCAAAGCTGCTGCAATGGCGGGTCCTGGAGAGCCAGGGACGCCCCAGGTGCCGGGGGTTCAGTTTGCACCAGGGCAGTGAATATGAGGCCAGGGGCCAGGGGCTGGGAGAGCGCCCCCAGGGCTCGTGGTGTTCCTACATTCCTGTGATTCTGGGGACTGGCCAGCTCTGGTCTGGTGTTGTTTTGTAAACTTGTCAGGATTCACTGCAATTGTCTTAAGTCCTGAAACTACCTTGGGGCCCAGAAGTTCAGTTCAGGAAGGGAAAAGCAGAGCTCTCACAAAATGGTGGAGCTCCCCCGAACTTGGATCCTCATGGACACAGCCCTTGAGTCCTTCTTGGTTGCTGGGACAGAAACGAGTGGAGAAGACGACGGGGATGATGGGGAGGGATTGGAATGAGACTGGCTTCAAGCCTGATTCTCGGCAAGCACACAAAACCCTCCAGTTTGCATGGAAGTCTTGTTAGTCTCAGCAGCATGTGGGTTACAGTAGTGGTTCAGCCTTGACTGCACTTGGGGAGTCTTTAAAATATGGTGTTAGGCCAGTGCCGTGGCTCAATAGGCTAATCCTCTGCCTTACGGCGCTGGCACACCGGGTTCTAGTCCCGGTCAGGGTGCTGGATTCTGTCCCGGTTGCCCCTCTTCCAGGCCAGCTCTCTGCTGTGGCCAGGGAAGGCAGTGGAGGATGGCCCAAGTGCTTGGGCCCTATACCCGCATGGGAGACCAGGAGGAAGCACCTGGCTCCTGGCTTCGGATCAGCGCGGTGTGCCAGCCGCAGCGTGCCAGCCGTGGCGGCCATTGGAGGGTGAACCAACGGCAAAGGAAGGCCTTTCTCTCTGTATCTCTCTCACTATCCACTCTGCCTGTCAAAAAAAAAAAAATTTTGAAAAATATGGTGTTAAACAAAAGACAAAAAGTAAATATATATATAATATAAATATATAACAGCAAATACATATATAAAATATGTAAAAAATAAAAAAGCTTCTCAAAACAAAGGAAAAATATTGGAGTCTGGGTCCCATCTTCAGAGATTCTAATGTAATGGACTTGAGATAAAATCTGGGCATCAAGCCGTTTAAGTTTCTCCAGATGCGTCACGCATACAGCTAAGGGTGAGACTTCTGGATGGGATCTGAAAGCTCTCCCAGTCTTTAAAGTTGCCTCCAAGTTCAAGGGTGAAGAATGTTGATGGTGAAAGTCGGCACATTTTGTTCAATTGAGAAAGTAGTGGCCCTCTCACACAAGTGAAGAAACACTGAACATTTCAAAAAGGTATAACTTAGCAACTACAGGCATATATATATAGAGAGAGAGAGAGAGAGAGACATATATATATGGTTGTATATGAAAAACTGTAGAGTCACCCTTGTTTTGCTCTGTTGATTAGACACTTGTAAACAGTCTAGATTCTAAGTTATGTATTTTTTAATTCTTTTTTTAATTTATTATTTATTTGACAGCGTTATAGACAGTGAGAGAGCGACAGAGAGAAAGGTCTTCCTTCTGCTGGTTCACTCCCCAAATGGCCGCTACAGACGGCTCTGAGCCGAGCCGAAGCCAGGAGCCAGGTGCTTCTTCCTGGTCTCCCATGTGGGTACAGGAGCCCAAGCACTTGGGCCATCCTCCATTGCCCTCCCCGGCAACAGCAGAGAGCTGGACTGGAAGAGGAGCAATCGGGACTAGAACCCGGCGCCCATATGGGATTCCGGTGCTGCAGGTGGAGGATTAACCAAGTGAGCCACAGGCCGGCCCCATAAGTTATTCATTTTTTAAAAACAATTTTGAAAAATTTTCACCCTGTAGAGTCGACGAATCCCACCAGGTTCTTAACCCCTTGGGCGAGCGGGGCCCTCTGTCTGTGTGGCATCTTTGCTGGGTATTCCTAGGCAGAGCTCACTCTGTACTCACCCACACCCACCTATCTGTCTGCCAGCTCGGCACTCCATCCATTCATCTATGAGCGGCTAGCCAGACCTCATCATTTGAAATGCCGGGCATATGCTCTGCCTCTAGGATGCAGAGAAAATACCCTTTTGGGAAATGCCTCAAGTTGAATTCAAGGAAGGGTGCTGTGGAGGGGTGAAGGGTAGGGAGCAGAGAGGTGGGCGGAAAGTGAATTTACAAAGGTTGGGAGATGTCGCTCCCCCTCTTCGTGGAGGAACGACACAGGACCCTGCGCTGTTCTTTCGTCTGCTCGGCCCTCCCCGGGTTTGCTGCTGGTTCTTCCCGGGTTGGCTACTATCCCTTCCACCTCCATGGAAGGGCAGTTCCCCCTGGCCACATTCCCCACTTCCGCAGGGGAGCGGCACACCGCCGGCCGGCTCTTCTCGGGGGCTGCACAGGCGTTCCTTCAGCTACATGTTCCCCATAGATGTTCCTGGTGCATGCCGTCTCTCTCCTCCTTTATAGTCCTCCTCCGCCAATCCCAACTCGGCTGCCCACACGCCGAGTACGCTGCTCTCCTCCAATCAGGAGCAAGTCCTACAGTTTATTGGTTGAACTGGAGGCAGCTGTGCGGAAGCTGCCTTCTTCTCTCCTAGCGCCATATTGTGGGAGAGCAGATGCATAGAATAAGTCTTAATTCCAGTAACTCAGTCTAGTCCGGGTTGCTCCCCACAGGAGAGCAGATGCATAGAATAAGTCCCAACTCCAGTAACTCAGTCCAGTCCGGGCTGCTCCCCACAGATCCCCCTTTCTTTTTATTTTTTGCGTTGATACGCGCCTGTCTTCGGTGTCCCGCGGCACACACTCTGCTCTACTTGCTAGAGTTGCCACAGGCTCTTACAAGTCCTATCAATCAGGAAAACCGAATCCGGGTCCTCTCTTCGCCATTGTGAGGAGGTTTTTAGGCGCTGATGCGTGCCTGTGTTCGGTGCCCTGCAGCGCATGCTCTGCTCTGCTAGAACTGCCTGCAGGTGTTTACAAAACCTATCAGGCAAACCGAATCCAAGCCTTCTCATTGCCGTATTGTGGGGGAGACTTATTAGTGTTGGTTCGTGCCTATCTTCGGTGACCTGCAGCTCATACTCTGGTCGAGCTGCTTGCTGGCGCTTACCGCCTTAATCAGGCAGACCGAATCCAAGCCTTCTAATTGCGGTATTGTGGGGAAGCCTTACTGATGTTAATTCGTGCCTGTCTTCGGTGACCTGCGGCGCATAAGCTGCTAGCCGCCCAGGTGCTCATCGCCTCACTAATCGGGCAGACCGAATCCAAGCCTTCTAATTGCCATGTTGAGGGGAGGCCTTTCTATTTCTCTATTTCTCTATCTCCGGGCATTCCTATTTCTCCCATTTTACTTCTATCTTCCAGCATTCCTATTTTTCTCATCTTACTTCTAAACTTCTGTTTCTCTTATCCCCGCAGCTTCCCGGCGCCTCGCCCTGCCGGCAGCTTCACGGCTCCGCGCGGCTTCCCGGCGCCTCGCCCCGCCGGCGGGTTCCCGGCTCTGCGCGCACGCTCCGCGGTCTCCACGCACTTCGCGCCCGCACCACGGCCTCGCACCAGCCCCAGCGTTCCCCATCTATTCACGCCCCGTGCTCTCTCTGCACGCGGCGGCTTCCGCGAATGTTTCCGCCACCACCGGCATTCAGTCCAAGTTCCCCGGACTAACCTGGCGAATTCCAACCTGGTGGCCCACGTCTCTGCCTCTGGTTCCAGATCTTCGCCTCTTGCTCCCCGGGGTGACTTGAAGAATTCCAAGGTGGCTTATATCTCCGCCTCGGCCTGCACTCGCGGCTTCATCCTCCCTAACATTTTTCTCTACCCGGTGTGTTTCCTTAAGTTTTCTTCCAACAATATTCCTCCCTCATTTCTCCTGGCCTCTCCCCACAGTCCGTATCCAAGTCTAAGTTTCTTATAGGTTTCACTTTCACTTTCAACCTGCAGTCCGTATCTGAGTCTAAGTTTCTTCTTGCTTTCACTTTAAATCCTAACTTCTTTCCCACAGTCCGTATCCGAGTCCAAGCCTCCTCCAGGTTTCACTTTCGCTTTCAATCTCCTAGCTTCCCCGCCATAGTCCGCATCCGAGTCTGTGAAAGCTTTCACTTTCGCTTTCAAATCCTAACTTCTTTCCCACAGTCCATATCCAAGTCTATGCCTAGGCTTTCAATAGCTTCTTCCGGCACCTTTCTCGTCCGGCTTTTCCCTAGGCTGTTTGCTAGTCTCTCTCTCTCCGGTATTTTCCCATTTCTTTCCGTTTCTTCCCTATTAGGTTTCCTAACCGTCCTAGGTTTCCTATCCGAGTCACGGCACCATTATGTCGCTCCCCCTCTTCGTGGAGGAACGACACAGGACCCTGCGCTGTTCTTTCGTCTGCTCGGCCCTCCCCGGGTTTGCTGCTGGTTCTTCCCGGGTTGGCTACTATCCCTTCCACCTCCATGGAAGGGCAGTTCCCCCTGGCCACATTCCCCACTTCCGCAGGGGAGCGGCACACCGCCGGCCGGCTCTTCTCGGGGGCTGCACAGGCGTTCCTTCAGCTACATGTTCCCCATAGATGTTCCTGGTGCATGCCGTCTCTCTCCTCCTTTATAGTCCTCCTCCGCCAATCCCAACTCGGCTGCCCACACGCCGAGTACGCTGCTCTCCTCCAATCAGGAGCAAGTCCTACAGTTTATTGGTTGAACTGGAGGCAGCTGTGCGGAAGCTGCCTTCTTCTCTCCTAGCGCCATATTGTGGGAGAGCAGATGCATAGAATAAGTCTTAATTCCAGTAACTCAGTCTAGTCCGGGTTGCTCCCCACAGGAGAGCAGATGCATAGAATAAGTCCCAACTCCAGTAACTCAGTCCAGTCCGGGCTGCTCCCCACAGGGAGAGGCCAGGGGCCTTCCAAACATTCCCATGGCATGCGCTGCTGACGTCACTGCCTTGCAGGACACCTCAGGGAGTCAGAGCTGGGGCTGCACTGAAGTAGCTGCCTGTGTCCACCCACCATCCCCCCAAAGCGAGACCGGGTGGAGAGACAAGTGCTCCGAGTGATGCACAGTGCCAGGAGCTGTTGTCGGTAAGTACCTGTCCAGGAGCTGCTGCAGGTGAAGGCAAGGCTACCACTGCACTGTGACTGTCAGAACACCTGACAGATGTCATCAAGAACCAGCTACATGGTGTGCAGTTGAGAGCCCTCCAAAATGAGAGGAGGGTGTGTGGGAGGTGGCGCAAGCCAGAGGAGGCAGAGCTTGGCAGTGGGCCTTGTCTGAGGTCTTGAACAAGGGCACACAGCAGGGCTTGTCCCATGCCTGACAGGGTTCCTGAGAACAGCGTGGAAGGGTGCCAAGGTTCAGAAACTGCCCTTGGCTGGGTGGATGGACTCCTGGGCTTGGATAGCTCTGCTGTGGCCTTTGGGGCCATTTTGCAGATCAGAGTCCAATTACAAACTCCTGGCTCCATCTACCTGGGTGGGAGATGGGAAGAGGGGGTGACTCAAGTGGGCAGAGGCAAAAAATTGGCCTAGAAGGGAACTGAAAGATGAAGGAACCTCAGAGCTACTCACTGTTCAGCATGTGTCTAATGAATAAATGTATCAAATAGGTACACAAACATGCTCAGTAAATACTGTACAATTGAGATTGAAGGGGCTGGCGCTGTGGCACAGCAGGTTAATGCCCTGGCCTGAAGCGCTGGCATCCCATATGAGTGCCAGTTCGAGTCCTGGCTGCTCCACTTCCGATCCAGCTCTCTGCTATGGCCTGGGAAAGCAGTGGAAGATGGCCCAAGTCCTTGGGCCCCTGCACCTGCGTGGGAGACCCGGAGGAAGCTCCTGGCTCCTGGCTTTGGATCAGCACAGCTCCGGCCGTTGCGGCCAATTGGGGAGTGAACCAGTTGATGGAAGACACCTCTCTCTCTCTCTCTCTCTGCCTCTCCTCTCTCTGTGTAACTCTTTCAAATAAAAAAATATTAAAAAAAAAAAAAAAAGAAATTGGAGGGCCTGGCTTTGTGGTGTAGCAGGTAAAGTTGCCACCTGCAAGCAACGCCAGCATCCCATATGGGTACCAGTTCGAGACCTGGCTGCTCCACTTCCCATAGCAGCTCCCTGCTAACGTGCCTGGGAAAGCAGTAGAAGATGGCTCAAGTGCTTGGACCCCTGCACCTACGTGGGAGACCCAGAGGAAGCTCCAGGTTCCTGGCTTCTGCCTGGCCCAGCCCCAACCCATGCAGCCATTTGGGAAATGAACCAGCGGATGGAAGATTCTGTCTCTCTAACTCTGCCTTTCAAATAAATATATTTTTTTAAAAATTGGAGATGAAGATACCAAAACTCAGTGTTCATGGAATATAACCTAGAAGCAAAGAGCTACTTCACTATCATAAACAGAAAGCTTCTCAGGTGTAGGATTGCATGGAAGCTATTTTATAAAATGATTTTATAAAGATTCTAAGGGGCCAGCACTGTGGCATAGTGGGTAAAACCACCGCCTGCAGTGCTGGCATCCCAAATGGGCACTGGTTCGAGTCCCGGATTGAAGACCTCTCTCTCTCTCTCTGCCTCTCCTTCTCTCTGTATGTAACTTTTTCAAATAAATAAATCTTAAAAAAAAAAAAAAGATTTTATAAAGATTCTCAGTTGACCATTTTTCAGTCATAGTAAAATAATTTTATTTAGTGAATGATTCAGGTCTCCAGAAATAACAGACTAAGTTTCAATTTATCTTTCTTCCTTGTGAAGTAACTCCTTTTTCTGCCTCTGTCTCTGCAACACATGAGGACCACAGACCGCAGGAGGAGGGATCGTCCTGAGTGGGCTCTCTGGCTGAGGACCTTGTGCTCAAAATCGGGGCCAAGTGATCCCGAGGAGCAGGTGCTTGGTACAGCGGTTGAGACACCGCTGGGGACCCTGTGTCCCCCGTCAGAGTGCCTGCCTTCAAATCCTGGCTGCACTCCCTACTCCAGCTTCCTGATAATGCACACTCTGGGTAGGCCGCAGGTGGCTCCAGGACTTGGGTCCCTGTCACCCATATAGGTAACCAGGATTGAGTTCTTGGCTCCCAGCTCTGGCCTGATCCCAATCCCTGTTGTTGTAAACATTTAGGGGGTGAACCCGCAGATAGAAGATCTTTCTTTTCTTCCTCCCTCCCTCCCTCCCTCTCTCTCTCTCTCTTTCTTTCTTTCAGATTTATTTGAAAGAGTTAGAGAAGGAGAGGCAGAGGGAGAGAGAGGTCTTCCATCTGCTGGTTCACTGCCCAGTTGGCCACAATAGCCGGAGCTGTGCTGATCTGAAGCCAGGAGCCAGGAACCTCCTCCAGGTCTCCATGCGGGCACAGGGATTCAAGGACTTGGGCCATCTTCCACTGCTTTCCCAGGCTACAGCAGAGAGCTGGATTGGAAGTGGAGCAGCAGGGACTGGAACTGGCACCCATATGGGATGCTGGCACTGCAGGTGGGGCTTTATCCACTATGCCACACCCGGAAGATCTTTCTATATCTGCCTCTGTCTTTCCCTGCTTTTCAAGTACAAAAAGAAAAAAAGATACTGAAACCAAAAGGCCGTATTTGTAAGAAAAGTAAGGGCAGGGGAGGATGTCGCTGGGTGACTCACATGACTTTCAGTGAGGTTCACAGGGTGTGGAGCACAATTCTCAAGAGGCCTCCATGCGCCATGTGACGGTGGCCACAGTGGAGATGGACTCAGAAGTGACCCTCAGGCAGAAACTGCTTCTGACGTTGACACAGAAGTGCTTCTTCCTGTCTGGAGATGAGCAGTGAGTAGTAGTTCCTATTCCTAAAAATATGAAACAGAACCAAAATGCATCCCTCGCCTAGCCCGCTGAATCCTGCTGCACTTACACAGTTTGATAGCAAGACCTAACCCCTCCTCTCCCTAAGTTACACCAAGCCCTGGTGCCTATAGTAGTCCCACTAATCCTGGGAGATTTACTGTTACTCCTTGAAGGTTCATAAGCCTGGCCTTTGACAGATGACAGAGCCTCTGAACCCGAGGCCGTGGGTGCGCTTGAGAGAACATTCCAGGAACAGGGTTGTGGAGCCAGATAGGGTGTGTGACACTCAGCAGTCAGTGTTCCTGAGGCAGCTGGTCTACCACAGCGAAGCCTTCCACGGTCACCTCTCTGCATAGCAGAGAGCACCAGCCAGGGCACAGGCATGACCCTGCGTGGCTGGAATAACTTCTGCTGGTAGTGCAATGGGACCTCCAGGCACCAGACTATCCCAAATGTCCAGTCTGGAATGTTCTGGGGAAGAGAACCCTTCTCTCCCACTCAAACTGCAGTGATAACTGCATTTTTACACAGAAACCAAGAAAAATGCTCTAAGAAGAATTTTACTCTGGTTTGTGCAGTTGCACTCCAGGGTCTGCATTATCAGGAAGCTGGATTCAGAAGCAGAGTCAGGTATCAAATCCAGGCACTCTGATAAGTGAGGTGGGCATCTTAACCACCGTGCTAAACGCCTGCCCCTCACTGGTGAGTTCCGATGAAGAGTCGGAGCTGGCTAGCTAACGTTGTACTTTATTATATAAAGAACTGCTTTGATTAAACAGAACACAGCACACAAAGAATCACAATATTCAGCATTAAAGATGTCTCCACCCAGGGAACATCTGGAATGAGCGCTGCTTTAGAAAGAATACGGTAGAGACCATCTGTAGAAACAATCAGAAGCACACAGACATGCTTTGCTGCTTTTTTTTCCAGTTATGTTTGTGATTATTAAAGCCATTTTAATTGAAATGGATCAGGGCTTCTGTAAACTGCACATACGTCCCAGATTTTCTGGAAGAGCCCAGCATCCAAATGACTGCTGGTTTGGGGATGGGAGGGCGTAGTTCCTCCACCCTTCCTGCGTGAGGCCAGGGTCTTCCGGCCAACGTGGTTAGGAACTGGTACAGAATCCTGCACCAGTGACAGCAACAGAAAAAAAGGGCACAAGGACAAAGAGCGAGCTTTTCACAGCTGGTGGCCCCTGCAGAATCGTGCGAAGGGGGCAGGAAGGCGCATGACCAGAATTTGTCAGAGCAAAACAACTTCATGGCACAGGCCTCTGCCTGGGAAGAGGAAGTTGGCTCTCTTAGTCAGCAGCTTAGTCACCCTCCGGCATCAGCATCCGTGTGGAAGTCTGCAGCCCGGGGGCCTGGCTACGGGCTCCTGCAGGGGTTCTGCCTCCTGGGAAGGGGGTGGGCTCCAGAGGGTCGGAGAAGCCTCAGTTCCTCTCAGTGTGAGTCCACGGAGGGGCCCCCCTCGGGGCAGGCAGGCAGGGAGACCCAGGCAGGACGCAGCCACGGCCAGAGTGGGCAGCCACGGCCAGAGTGGGAGAGCCACAGTTCTGCCTCCTCAAGGTTCCCTGTTGGGATCAAACCAAGCACTGGGAGGCCCCTGGGAGACAGCGGCACGTACCGCAGGTGAGCCTGGGAGACAGAGGCACACAACGCAGGTGAGCCGAATGGGGGCTAGTCCTTCCTGCTCCCCCGGGCCATCAGTGGATGAAGGGGTGGGGACAAGAACTAGGCCCTAGTTCCTGGCGAGGTTGAATCTCTCTCCTGAGAAGCTGGGGTGCCCTCCCCATGTGAGGGCCCTGCCAGAGTCTGAGCAGGACACAGGCACCCTCGGCTGGAACTTTCGAATGAGCTGACTTTACAGAGGGGTGGGAGAGACAGAGCTATTCTATCCACTGGTTCATTCCCCAGGGCTGGGCTGGGCCAGGCCGAAGCCAGGAGCTTCATCCATGGGTGGCAGGCACCCAAACATTTGGGCCATCTTCCACTGCTTTTCCCAGTGCATGAGCAGGGAGCTGGATGAGAAGTGGAGCAGCCGGGACACGAACCGGCACTCATAGGGGATGCTGGTGTTGCCGGCAGCAGCTTAACCCGCTGCACTACTACAGCGCCGGCCCTGAGGGCTGTGCCGCTTCTTCTGGCCCTCACTCCCTCTGAGGGAAACCAGCTGCCAGCCATGCAGCTGAGCTGGGAAGCAGACCCCCCCCCCGGGGGGGCAGTCCCAGAGGGCTGGGGGCAGGGGTTGCGGCAGCTCTGGGAGAGGCCTGAGCTGGCCCCAGCTGAGCTGCACCTGAACTGCTTTGCCAACCCCCAGAGTAGAATCAGGTGTGACTGCTGCAGGCCGCAGGCTGGGGGCGCGTGGACAGCAGCAGCCTGTTGGCCTCAGAGTTCCAGAGGTGGCGAGTGTGACAGGACGTCGGCAGGCCTGCTTTCTCCCCTGACGCCCCTCTGCCTTGCTCGCAGGGGACCCCTCTCACTGTGTCTTCTCATGGCCTTCCCTCTGCACCCGGGCATCCATGGCGTCTCCCCACGCACAGAGGCCCCGGTCTCAGGACCTTTAGCCTATGACCTATGACCTTCCTGACCTCTCACAAGGCCCTGTCTTCAAACACACTCATATTCTGAGGTGCTGGGGGTTAGGACTTCAAGAAATGGATCTGTCGGGGAGAGAGACACGATTTAGCCCACAGGACGCAGACGCTGAGATAATAAATTGCTGGTGCAAGCGCTCAGCTTGTGCTAGTTGGGCACACAGCAATAGACAGCCCACACAAGCATTTGGGTGAGACTCAGAGACCATGAGGCTGTCTCTAGCGGCCATACCCCTCCTCAAAGCAGCCAGGGAAGGCCAGGGCTTCACCAGCAGTAGGAACACTGCCGGTGAAGTGCACCCCTGGGTGGCAGTGTTAGCCTGAGCAGTTATATGGACTAACAGGCAGTTAGGCCAGGTCTCTGTCGGAATGAGAAAAGGGGCAGAGTCCCTGTAGGAGGGGACCAAACACGTGCTTCTCCCCAGAAGCTGCCTTTAGAGGGACAAAATGATCACTCCGCCCCTCTGAGTTTCTAGTTTATCAAGAGAATAGCAAGACAGAATTGTCATTCGCCCCCTTGTGATAGGTTTTTGGTTTATCCAGAGCAGGCTACACAGGACTACAACTCCCGCCCTCTGGTAGGTTTTGCTGCCACCCTCTGTTAGCTGCTAGTCTATGCCTCCCAGGAACTGTGTATAAAAGACCCCACACTGGAAGTTTCTTGGGGGGGGGGGGGGGAGGTTACCCCTGCCTTTTTTTTTTTTTTAATGATTTATTTTATTTATTTATTAGAAAGTCAGAATTAAGGGGCAGGGGGGAGAGAGAGAATCGATCTTCTGTTCACTGGTTCACTCCCCAGATGGCCACAACGGTCGGGGCTGGGCCAACCCAAAGCCCTGATCCAGGAGCTTCTTCCGGGTCTCCCATGTGGGTGCGGGGCCCAAGGACTTGCATCATCTGCTGCTGCTCTCGGAAGTGGAGCAGCAGAGACTTAAACCGGCGCCCATATGGGACGCTGGCGCTGTAGGTTGTGGCTTTACCCGCTAAGCCCACAAGCGCCAGTCCCCAAGGGGTTTTCTTCCCTTGGAGCCCCCTCCTGACTGCTGTGGCAGGAGGTTTCTGACTTAAATAAATCTTGCTTTGCCCACTGTCCTGTCCATGTGGAAATTCTATGTGAGACAAGAACGGAGATCAACGTCATCGTCCCCTGAACATCAGCCTATGTGCAAAGGAGGATGTGGGAATTTGCGGGTGGTGGATGAGGGGCGCACCTGCCTCACCTGTGCTGCACACCCTGGTGAGGGGAGTCCAGCGATCTGCAGGTTCCCCTTGGGGCAGCTTCCCTGCCCTGCCCTGGGGGGCCACGGATCAAGGAATTCCTAGAATCCCACACCCAGGGAGCCTTCCAGCTGTAAAACCTGCAGCGTGGATGCTGCCCCGGCTCCGGCTCCTTCCTGGGACCCCCGCCCGCGCTCTCACGAGTGTTCTCCCCATTAAGCCTGGCCACCTCGCTTGCCACTACTTTCGGCCTCGCCTCCAAACTCCTGTGTGTGAAGACAAGACCCTCTGAGCCGCTGCCCCAGGACCAGAGGACTTCTCAGGACCCCCACCAGCGAGGGGAGTTGTGGTGTTAGGGAACCCAGACTCTAACAGGCCGCAGAGCTGTCTGCCTGGGGACAGGTGAGGGCGGCTCCGAGGGGCTGGTCTTGGCGGCTGTCAGAGGAACACTGGGAAGGAACCGTCTGGAGGAGAAGGGACCCCTCCTGGGTGAGGACCCTCTGCAAGTGAGCTGGAGGTGGTGGTGGTGGGGGGGGCTGAGAGGGCACTGGAAGTCAGAGCTCCATACCCTTATCTCTGCTGGCATGCCATGCGGCCCAGCGGGGCGCAGTGAAACGCGGATTCTGATCCAGGAGTGCAGGCAGCGGGAGTGTGCACGGCTCCCTTTTGTCTGCAGGGCTGCCGCCCATGGGCCGCACTGGATTTGCCCTGTTCTAAGCCAGAAACTGACCAGGAGCGTCACACTATCCCAGCCACGGCGGCCTTGGAGCGCTGATCCGAGTGCCTCTCCTAGAGGACATGGGAGACCCCCCCTGCCCAGGGCCCACTCTGTCCCCAGGCACAGCCCCAAGCCAGCAGTGGCTAGAGAAAGGGAAGGGGAAGCAAGGAGCACATTTGTGTTTCCAGCCTGGGTACACAGCAGGCCCAAGCTGAGGATGGAAACAGCGTTGCACCAGCCCGGGGTTCCGTGAGACACTGGACCAACTGTTTTCTAACCCCAGGCGAACGGAAGCACCGTGGATCTGCCCCAGAGCCCCCTCGGCGGCTGGGAGGACGTGGCCCACCATGTGGGAAAAAGACAAGTGCTTGAGCCATCATCTGCTGCCTCCCAGACACTGCCATATGGGAAGTGGCTGTCCCAAGCAGCCATAGCACCTGTCCCGAAGCTTCCTCTTTTTAACTAATAAAAACAAGGCAGGGGCCGGCGCTGTGGTGTAGCGGGTCAAGCTGCCCTCTCAGTCCCAGCTAACCACAGGGGCACCGATTCGAGTCTCAGCTGCTCCTCTTCCAGTCCAGCTCTCTGTCGTGGCCCGGGAAAGCAGTGGAGCATGGCCCAGGTGCTTGGGCCCTGCACCCACGTGGGAGACCAGGAGAAGCTCCTGGCTCCTGGTTTCGGATTGGCCCAGCCCCGGCCATTGTGGCCATTTGGGGAGTGAACCAGCAGATGGAAGACCTCTCGCTCTCTGTCTCTCCTCTCTCTGTAACTCTTTCAAATAAATCTTCAAGACAAAACAGAACAAAGCAAAGCAAACCCTCCCTCACCCACCCCTTCTTACTTGCTGCCCGGATTCTGGGTGCCTCTGGGGCCAGATGCAGGGCTGGGGCTGGGGGGGTGCAGAGGCTCGCACTTCCTGTCCCCAGGACTTCATCAGGGGGAACCTGGATGTCCACCCCAGGAATCCTGCGTCTTTGGCCAGTTGGTTAAAAATAGACCTGGCCGTCTTGTGCGGACCGGAACTCTTCTTCTCTCCAAAGTCAGGTAAACCCGCTGGAGAAGAGACATTACTGCGAAGCAACTCCCAGAGCAAGCCGAGAGCTGGGCAGCGCCTGGAGACGGTCCCAGTTCTTTTGATAAATGAAGCCCACTTGTGCCGGGTCAAGGGTCAAAGGTCAAAGGTGCCGCAGACGGCCAGGCCTCGCTGTGGCCGCTAGAGGGCGTGCGATGGGCGGAGACGCCGCGGCTAATCGTCAGGCGCTGAGCCTGGGCTTGCGTTGCCAATGCCGTTTCATTTCTAAATTCAGTTCTTCAACCATGTGACCGACAAGATGGAAGCGACTGCCGAGTGCCAAAGGCAGTGGGAAGGAGCTGCCCCTCGGCCGTCGGGGGACCGGCAGCATGACGTCACGGGGCTGCGGGATCGCCGCGGTTAACAGGGGTTGCAGGGAGCCGCGGTTAACTCGGCTTTCACGATGATGGAGGCACGCGAGCACGCTGCGGGGTGGCTTCTGAGGGGATTTCCGGAGAAAGGGAGTTCTTTGGATTCACCTGGAAGTGCCCGTCAGATACGACGCGGGGGTTTGCCTGACTGACGCGCGCGCCGTTTTCTGTCGCCGCTGCGAGCCCGGAGGTCTGAGACGCTCCGGGAAGGCCCCGCCCGCAAAGCAGGGCCGCACCGCCCCCTGGTGGTCAGCCCTGGTCTCGCGGCGGGCCGGCTGGAGCCGGGGGGCCGGGGGGCCGGGGGGCCGGGGACTGCGGGCCTCGGCCGGCGCCGCTGCCGCTGCGGCGTGCCCGCTCCTCTGGCTTCCTCCCCGGTCCCTTGGTCGCGTCAGACTGCCCCTTCTTTTCCTTCCCGGTGTTCGGATGCAGGCTCGCGCTCAGCGAGGCCGTCCCTGCTCCAAGATAATAAGGAGCATCTTAGGGCTTCCTGGAGGCAGCCGGGGTGAGGAGGGGGGAGCCGGAGCCTGCTCTCCTCCCCACCCCTCACCGCCGACGGCAGTGGCCCTGCCGCCGTTTCATGGGTCACTTTAAGCAGGGGAGAAGCGGTGCGGGTCTGGCAGTGTCTAGCGTGCGGCTCTGTCGGCTCCGCACAACACTCACGCATCCTTATCTTTCCACGAGGGACCTGAGGGAGGGGCCCAGGGTCACCCAGCCGGGGGGGGGGCAGTTTTGGGATTTGAACGCGGAGCAGCCTGGCTGCAAAGTGTGCTCGCTGCACTGCGCTCTGCCTCTCGGACTCCCGGCAAAGAGGGCTTTCCTGCTTCCTTCCTCCCTCCAAAGCCCCCCTCCCCGACCCTGTGCCTCCTTGGTGGTGGTGGTGGGGTGGCTTTTGTTGGTGCCTGATGTAGAGGCGGGGGGAGCCCAGGGGTCCTGGCGCTTTCACGGTGATCCCTGAAACTGGGCTCGATGTGCATCAGCAGCCAGCACTGGCCTAGGAGCTGCGATTGCTCCCCGGGGTGGGTCACCCTGGGGGACCACGACCCTGGGCAGGTCCTCTCAGAGCCTTGCCGGGGTCCCTCCCAGCCACCCCCACTGCCCTCGCCTCAAGCATTCTCAGGGAGCCGCCAACTCACTCCAGGGCTCAAAGTCGACGTTGTTAACAGGTGTTCCGGCTCTGGAGGAGGCTGGAGGAGGTGCGCGGGATCCTCGCGGGGCGGGGCGAGAGAGGAGGGGGTGGGGGAGGAGAGCCGGCCACCTGTGCAGGCGCTGCGGGCTCCACGTGACTCCTCCCAGCGAGGCAGCCGCAGCCGGAGGCTGTCCCGGCCTGGTTGTGAAACCGGCCTTGTTGTTGCCGGCCCTCCTGTGCGCAGTCAGTCGGGGAAAGGGCACGGGTTCCAGGCGTGTGCCCAGAGACAGGAGCCGGGCCCCCGGCAGCCCTCTGCCCGCAAGGGCGTCCTGGACTAGAGCAAGGGTACAGGGGCTGGGACGGCTGGGAAGTGATGGGAGGGCTTCAGCAGGGAGGCCATGGAAGGCTCCGCGAGGAGTGGGAGGTGAGTCCTGGTGATGGTGTCCACCTGTTCTTCCAGACGCTGAGGGTCGCCGTGGGGGGACTCGGGCTACCCCCCCACGCCACGCCCTGCTGACCGCTCACTCACTTGAGTAACCACTAGAAAGCCTGCCTCCAGTCCCTTCTGTTTATTTTTAAAAGGTCTATTCGAGAGAGAGATTGATCTTCCATCCACTGGTTCGCTCCCCAAATGGCCACAATGGCCGGAGTTGGACCAGACTGAAGCCAGGTGCCAGGAGCTTTCTCTAGGTCTCCCACATGGGTGCAGGAGCCCAAGGACTTGGGCCATTTCCTGCTGCTTTCCCAGGCACAGTAGCAGGGAGCTGGATCAGAAGTGGAGCAGCTAGGACTGCACACATGCCATCCCTTACCTCCTTACATTTTTTGAAATTGGTGACTGTATGGGGGCCGGCGCTGTGGCGTAGCGAGTACAGCCTCTGCATGCAGTGCTGGCATCCCATATGGGCGCCGGTTCGAGTCCCAGCTGCTCCACTTCCGATCCAGCTCTCTGCTATGGCCTGGGAAAGCAGTAGAAAATGGCCTAACTCCTTGGGCCCCTGCCCCAACGTGGGAGACTGGAAGAAGCTCCAGGCTCATGGCTTCGGACCAGCCCAGCTCCAGATGTTTCAGCCATCTGGGAAGCAAACCATTATTATATTTAATAATATTTATTTTAACAAAAAGGTTGATGACCGTGGCACCCCAAGTGCTGCCCAGGATGCCGCAGGGCTGCAGGCCGATTTGTGTCCTCCCAGCTGTGGCTGCCTGCCTTTTCTGTAGCTCTGCTCAGGGGTCTTTTCTCTCTGGACAGCCTCTCTGGTTGGTGCCCTCTCTGAGCCCAGGGCGACCTCGGCACAGAGCACACTCAGCTCCCACCTCCACCCTCTGTCGGCACCTGGTCCTCTCATTGCGGCTGGTTCTTTCCCCAGCCCTGCACGCTGGCTCACCCCAGACCTGGCAGAAGGCAAATGTTCAGTGTGTCCAGCCAAGGTCATCCTTCTTACCCTAAGCGGAATATTTTTCAGCAGATGGTACTGGAAAAATAAGCATTAAACTATATGGAATTCAGGCTGTGGACCTAACTCTTCAGAAGGGGAAACCGAGGCCCTGGAGAAGGGGCCGCAGGACTGCACAGCGTGTCACAGTGGGGCACAGATGTGGGCCCCTCTGCGGGTGGCACAGCCTTCGCTAGTGACAGCAAAACCCATCCCCAGCTGGCGTCCGTCCCTGTGACAGGCCACAACAAGCTCAATGGTCTCGTTCCCAGTGTCTAAAAACATTCATTGACTGCTGTATTTTCTTTCATAGACTGCTGTATTTTCTTTCTCATTTCTTTAAGTTGTGGATTTGTTATTGTTGTTGGCGATGCATAGAGAGATCTGCTGGTTTACTCCTCAAATGCCTGCAACGGCCAAGGCTAAGCCAGGCCCAAGCCAGGAGCCAGGAACTCAGCCCAGGTCTCCCATACGTGTGGCAAGGACCCAAGTGCTTGAGCCACCACCTGCTGCCTCCCAGGGTGGGCTTTGGCAGGGAGCTGGAGTCGGAGGAGCTGGGACTGGAACCATGAGATGAAGGTGCCCCAGTGGCACCTTAACCACAAGGCCAAACATCCGTCTTTTTCGTTTCTACTGCAGTTATCTTTTTAGAAAATCTTCATTTTATTAAATCTGAGCGTGAAACGATGCATATTACAGAGATTCTGAATGTGCTGGAAAGAGAAAATGCTGAATTCCACCAGACAAGGGGACAACCTGCTATTATTAAAGCATTTTTGTCACAAATAAATCTCTATAACTGACATCAAAGTATATGTTGAATTTTATGTCTTTTTGATTACTAATGGATTGTATTTCTCTAAGTCCTTAAAAATGGAATATTTTCTTTGTAGTCTTTGCCTCATAAAGCTTTTCTTTCTTTATTTTTTATTTATTTTTTGACAGGCAGAGTGGACAGTGAGAGAGAGAGACAGAGAGAAAGGTCTTCCTTTGCCGTTGGTTCACCCTCCAATGGCCGCCACGGCCAGCGCGCTGTGGCCCGCAAGGTGGAGGATTAGCCTAGTGAGCCGCGGCGCCGGCTGCCTCATAAAGCTTTTCAATCAGCACACTTTGGACAGAGTTAATTCATACATAAAAAGAATCTAGTAATACAAATAAAAGGAAAAATGCTACATAATCTATTATTTATGACGGCCATACTTAATATCTGGATGGTTTGCAATTTTTTCATTGTGGTAAATTATAATAAATGTAAAATGTTTATTTCATCATTTCATTGTGATGAGAAAGTATTTCCAAATGACAACTCTGCCTGCATTTGCCATTATTGCTTTGAGAGTTATGTTCTCAACTTTAAGAGAAAGGGTTTTTTATTTTTTTGGTAGATTGATTTATTTAAAAGGCAGAGTTGCAGAGAGAGAGAGAAGGAGAAAGAGAGAGAGAGAGAGAACTCTTCCATCTACTGGTTCACTTTCCAAATGGTTGCAGTGACCAGGGCTGGGCCAGGCTGAAGCCAGGAGCCAGGAGCTTCATCCAGGTCTCCACATGGGTAGCAGTGGCCCTAGAACTTGGGCCATCTTCTCTTTCCCAGGCACATTAGCAGGGAGCTGGCTGGGAAGTGCAGCAGCCAGGACTTGCCCCAGCAGTTACATGGGATGCTGAGGGTAAAGGCAGTGGATTAGCCTGCTGTGCCAAAGTGGTGGCCCTGGCGGAAAGATTTACGAGGAGAAGTGTTGCAAGATTCAAGATAAGCTCAGCAGATAATGCTATTTCTCAAGTTACCTTAAAAGCCAAGATTACTTTTTTTTTTAGATTTATTTATTTGAAAGGCAGAGTTACAGAAAGAGGTAGAGACAGAGAGAGAGAGGTCTTCCATCTGCTGGTTCACTCCCCAGATGGCTCCAATGGCCGAAGCTGCGCCGATCCGAAGCCAGGAGCCAGGAGCTTCTTCCAAGTCCCCCACATGGGTGCAGGGGCCCAGGCACTTGGGACATCTTCCATTGCCTTCCCAGGCCACAGTAGACAGCCAGATCAGAAGAGGAGAAGCCGGGACTGGAACCGGCGCCCATATGGGATGCCGGTGCTTCAGGCCAGGGCTTTAACCCGCTGTGCCACAGCGCTGGCCCCCAAGATTACTTTTCAATCAGAAGAAAAATTATTGTTAATAAACACGAAAGATACACTATAGTGAAATGGTGTTAAATTAAGCCTGCAAAGAGAACTGGCTTAACATCTGAGGGAGGATTTATTTCTCTTTATACTCAGAGTATAATTTAGGTGTCAGTTGCCATTATGTAATGCTAAAGAAAATGTGTTTCTTTCAGAATTATTTTTTCCCCATCTGCATAAAGTTAAATAGTTTCAGTTCAACAGTGAAGTAACCAGAAAGAATATTTTCACTGGTAGAGCATGGACAACAGCTACTCGGGTTTAAGTGAATAGTCTTGGAAAGTACCAAGGTGAAATAAAACTGTTCAAGGGGCAAGCCCTTCAGTGCAGTGGGTTCAGCCTCTGCTTGGGATGCTTCCATCCCATATGGGAGCGTTGGTTCAAGTCCTGGTTACTCCGTACGTCCTTATCCAAATCCCTGCTATCGAAGGAGCGCATGGGAGACCTGGATGGAGTTCCAGGCTCCTGGCTTCTGCCTGGGCCTGGCTAAACCCTGGCTGTGGAGGAGTGAACCAGCGGATAGAAGAGGTCTCTCTAATTGTGACTTTCAAATCAATACATGAATCTTTAAAATATATATTTCAGGGACCAGTGCTGTGGCATAGCGGGTAAAGCCGCCGCCTGCGGTGTTAGCATCCCATATGGGCGCTGGTTTGAGTCCCGGCTGCTCCATTTCCAATCCAGCTCTCTGCTATAGCCTGGGAAAGCAGTGGAAGATGGCCCAAGTCCTTGATCCCTGCACCCACATGGGAGACCCAGAAGAAGCTCCTGACTCCTGGCTTCGGATTGGCACAACTCTGGCCGTTGTGGTCAATTGGGGAGTGAACCATTGGGTGGAAGACCTCTCTTTTTTCAGGCCAGGGCGTTAACCTGCTGTACCACAGAGCCGGCCCCCTTAAAATGTATTTCAAACAAAGTCAAAGCTAAAATAAGATTCAAGTTTGACAGATTAAAAATGCAAGCAACAGGAGCCAGCACTGTGGCATAGCAGGTAAAGCCACTGCCTGCAGTGTCAGC